CTTTCGCTTCCCCTTCCAGACAGGATCAGCTTAAACCAATGTTGTCTTCCTTACTGGCTCTTAGTTCCCAATTTTCTTTCCCATGCTTCTCTTTAAAGTGTATCTCTGAATTGCTGAAACTTATCATTCTTTTCAGATTAGGGAATTTGGGTCCTTTTAGGGGGCAAAATTCTCCATTATATATGTATGTATGAGGCAGTCTGATTTGTTTTCAGAAATGTCTTACTTTGGAAACCAGCTCTGGCTCTTCCTTCCCATGCCCATGTGCCCCCCGGACAGCAAAAGTTCGGTTCTCAATTTCTTGGGGTTTCTGTCACACAGCGATGGCAGCAGTGGATTTATGGAATTGGGCTTGGAATCTGGACTTGACTGTGCTGTATGATTCTTTGATCAATTTTTGTTTTCTGTGGCATTGATTCCCCACTCCCTCTCAAGTAATGCCCCATTTGTTAACATGTCCAAGGTATCTTGTTTTTTAAAACGGAACAATTATTGCACACTTGGGCAGATAATCTGCTGACAGCTTTTCATTAAAGGATCTCATTAAGGTTCTTGCTGTTTGTATTTATCAGCAGTTGCAAATACATTTCCATGATGAAATCAAGAGGATTGTACAATGTTATCTTTAAGAAACACTTGGCCCAGAGATAAGTGTTTCTCTCCAATAAAGGAATAGTACAATTATCCCACTTCCTGCAGGAGAACCAAATAACATAATAACAACCATGCCAGTCTGCAGCAACACGTGGCAGGAGTTGCTTGAGCTGTGAATTATGGCCTTTCTGTAAGGAGGAAAAAAAAAAAAAAGTAGAAAGCACCTATAATCTGGTTTGATTTTTTGCTGTGTTCTGCGGTGCTTTGAGCTCTTGAGCTCCAGCTGAGAAGATAGTGCATCTCACCGGTAATTATCCAAATGGAGAGCGATGCCGGTGTGGACTAGATAGGGATGTGGTGATGATGAGTGTAGTCTTGGATGCTGTGCTGCAGACTCTGTCATCGCCTTTCCCTTGGACCCTCTCTGGGTGTTCCCATCCCAATATTTATCCATCCCTTTAAAAAAAACCCATCCCCCGAAGGCAGGTGTCCTGGCATTGCTCACAAGCTCCATTTAGCAGCAGTGAAAGACCAGAGAGATGCTTCAGGTGATTGGTCTGGTGTGGGATAAGAGTGGTAATTTCTAACCAGGTGTAAGAAGGATGGTGGGAAGGTGATGGTCAGAGTCAAAGGAATTGGACACAGGAACAAGACACAGTCCCTCCTCAGTTGGACTAAATGCTTTGTAAGGGGGTTTGCCTAGCTGGATGGGCTATGTTCTGCAAAAAGGACTCTGCTCCTTCAGGGGGGAGAGAGAAAATGCCACTGTGGCTCCCTCGACAGGGCGTGGGCAAGAAGTTGGTGCTTTAGAGATGCCGCTTTGTCTTGAAACAAGATATTGAGTGCAGACCAGAGAGCCTATGGCTACATGTAAAAGGCTTTATTTACTTGTGCAAGTAATCCCTACTCGGGAGAGGAGGCCTGGTAACAGGACCTGGTCATTGCAAGCTTGCTGGTTTGAAGAGCAGGAGATACTGAGTTGGTTGGAGGCTTTCTCAGAGGGGTGGTTGCTTTTCATAGACTCATAGAATGGTTTGGGTTGGAAGGGACCTTGAAGATCATCTAGTTCCAACCCCCCTGCTGCAGGCAGGGACACCCTCCACTAGACCAGGTTGCCCAAAGCCCCATTCAGCCTGGCCTTGAACACTGCCAGGGATGGGGTATCCACAGCTACTTTGGGCAACGTGTGCCAGTGCCTCACCACTCTCACAGGGAATTTCTTCCTAATATCTAATCTAAATCATTATTTATTCCTAATATCTCATCTAAATCTACTCTCCTTCAGTTTAAGACCATACCCCCTTGTCCTGTCACTCCTTGCCCTTGTCACCAGTCCATCTCCAGCTTTCCTGTAGCCCCTTTAGGTACTGGAAGGTGCTCCAAGGTCTCCCTGGAGGCTTCTCTTCTCCACGCTGAACAACCCCAACTCTCTCAGCCTGTCTCCATCGCAGAGGTGCTCCAGCCCTCGGATCATCTTCATGGTCTCCTCTGGACTTGCTCCAACAGGTCCATGTCCTTCTTGTCCTGGGGACCCCAGAGCTGGATGCAGTACTGCAGAGGGAGGTCTCACCAGAGTGGAGCAGAGGGGCAGAATCCCCTCCCTCAACCTGCTGGTCACGCTGCTTTTGATGCAGCCCAGGACACGGTTGGCTTTCTGGGCTGCAAGTGCATGTTGCCAGCTTGGTTGAGCTTCTCATCCACCAACCCACCCAAGTCCTTCTCCTCAGGGCTGCTTTCAATCCATTCTTTGCCCAGCCTGTAGTTGTGTTTGGAATGCCTCGACCCATGTGCAGGACCTTGCACTTGGCCTTGTTGAACTTCACGAGGTTCACATGGACCCACCTCTCAAGCCCGTCCAGGTCCCTCTGGATGGCATCCCTTCCCTCCAGCGTGTCCACTGCACCACACAGCTCGGTGTCATTGGCAAACTTGCTGAGGGTGCGCTCGATCCCACTGTCCGTGTCACCAACAAAGATGTTAAATAGCGCTGGTCTCAGTACCAATCCCTGAGGAACACCACGTGTTTTTCCTGCCTGTCTCAGCTGCCCTGGTGAGCGTTTCCCCATCTCTGCAGCACTGCAGTTTTGCACAGGACAAGGTGAGGGGTGCGAAGCTGAGGACAGGGAAAGCTAGGGCAGGAGACATGAACAGAAAACTGTTCCTGCTTAATTTGTGCAAATCACCGTGATGCAAAGCACAGCCTCATGCTGGGAAGCGAATCTGCTGACACAGTGTTTGCAGGGGAATTTGTCCTCCACGTGTCCCTACCCTGGCTTCCTGTGTGCTGCTCCCTCCTTTGGGGAGGGTAGTCCTTTCTAAGAAATTCAATGAGATTTTTCTTTTCCCTATATTTCAGTGGCCTTGTGCTTTATATCTTGGCTTTGCTGTGTCATGCTTTCTCCTCTCTTGTTGCTCCTAGTTCTGATGGATTGGTTTTTGCCTTTGGAAAGATGCGTGATTTGCTAGCAACTGAGTTAATACACTTCTACGGCCCCATTACTCACAGTTGGCTCTTCTTCCCTGTCAGGGTGGTGGAAAAAAACTTCCTTCACTGGAAACAGGATCAAGATTTAAATCACTTCTTGTATTCCTGACAAGCTGCTACTTGCAAGCTTAAAAAGTCATCAGTTCCCCATTCCTTTATTCTCCTTCACTGTGACAATTGCTTCGGTTAGGAATGTTTTCTGGTTGGTGATGGGGAAAAGTCAAAATTATCATCTACCATGTCTGTGCTGTAATGCATCCTGAGAGGCAGAGGAGTGTTGCTTTCAGTGAGGAAGCTGCATGGGGACGGGGCTGTAACATCCCCTGTTCTTACAAATGGACTGAAGACATCTGGCACAGCTTTGCTGTCCTGGCACAGGTTCTGTTGATTGCAGAGCTATTTTGAGGTTTATGGGAAGACTCATCTACCTGTCTGCACACTTTATATCAGCTTTGTTCCCAAAGAAGTGCCTGGTGCAGAGGCTGGAAGTGAATTTCCAACCTGCTTTAGTGCTTGCCAATCTTGGGGAGAAATTGCTGTCTGGGGAAGGTGTCCTATCTGAGGCTCAGCCCACACCCTGTGCTGGGGTTGGAACCTCCCACCTTCCCTCATCCCACCGAGTTTGGGGCTCTTCCCTGCAGTGCAGTTAAGTGGTGTGTATTAAGTCGTGACTACAGCAAAAGCCCCTGCAACCCGTCGTCCCTGGTGCCGGCACTGCAGAGATCCCTGCAAGAGCACTGTGACTCCTTGCCAGGAGCTTTGCATTGCAGCACGGTGTGTGCTGTCCTCCTGCAGACCCCGTCACTGTGGCTGAGCTGGGCAGGTCCCCTGGGTGCTCCCGGGCAGCTGCAGGGAGAGCTCGGTGTGGGCAGTGCGCACTGCTCACCCTGCGCTCGTGGTCTTGAGCCCCTTGAGCTTCTGTGGCATCTGGGATTTTCTTCTTGTAATTAATGAGGGTGGGAGGGATCAGCTCCAAGGGAAATGAAGCTGTGGAGGTTTTCCTGCTGCTCTGGAAGTGTTTAGGTAGTACAAGACTAATGGAAGGGTGAATTTAACATCGGGTGAATTTAACATCAGGTAACTGCATGGGTCTCCTGTTCCACCTTGCTTTCCAGTGGTCAATGCCCAGGGCCACCGTCGCTCCCCGTGCTGTCCCTGGTCTGTTGAGTAACTCAGCACCTCATCATTACACCCTTGTCACAACTTGCCGGGGGTCTGCATCCACTGCCTTCCCACCCCTTGGGGTTTCAATGCTGGATAGTTTGCAGAGATGAGACCCGCTTAGGGGTGATTTATTTTAGCAAATACTGTAGCAGTTTAAGGGAATCCATTATTGTTTGTGTTGCATAGGAAAGGAGCTTTGCTCCGTGTGCTCTCCTCAAAGAGCAGCCTGTGATCCAGCTGAGGGTTCCTCTGGGTGCAGCCACAGTGTTTGTGCACAGCCCGCAGAGGGTCTCTGTCTTTGCAGGGCTGATGTTGGGAAGGGCACGGGCTCATGCTGTGACCCTGGGGCTGGTGTGGGTGCCTGGGTGCGGGCAGCTGCCAGGCTGTGAGAGCCCTGTGGAGCTAGGGATGGGTGGTTTTGTGCTTGGTTTTGTGCACAGTCCGATGTAGATGGTTAATGTAAAGAGGCTAGAGCCTGCTGTCAGGCTCACTGGGCTGAACCTGGAACAATGCTGGGGAGTTGGGGTGGAGGGGCCTCTGGTGTTACACCAGCACAACCAGAGTCAGAATTCAGCCCATAATTGCTCTGTCATGGTCTGTCAAAAAAAAAAAATGCAGTGCTTATAGCGCAACATATACTGGTTTAAATAAGATTTAGTCTTTCATTATTCAGCACTCTGCCTCTACTTGATACAGATTGAAACTCAGTCATTTCCTTTTACCAATACTCTAACTATGTTCTCTTTTTGATCTGCAGGATTGCGTGCAATTAAACCAGTACAAGCTGCAGAGCGAAATAGGCAAGGTATGTTACTGGAGCTCGTGTTTGTCGCAAGCAACCTGCATGCACACACAAGTATGGGTAGACAGACTGTGCCAGCCCAAGAGATCTTACTGGCCAACACTCCTTACAATTTATGTTTGTTTTGGGGGGTTTTGTTTGTTTTTTGCCCTATTAGTTTGGGCAAGTTTTGTTCAAGGTCAAAGTGGAGCTACTTCCTCTGAAATCTAAATTTATTTTCCTTCCCTCTGAAGGTGGTTAAGCTGGCTCCCTTCCAGGGTGTTTGCTTGCCAAATGTAACACTAAGAGCCTTTGATGCATTACTATAACCCAACAAGGAAAGAAAACCTGAAAAAGGTCAGGGCAGGTGTTTGGTCCCCATCAGGACAAGCTTAAGTTTTTATGTCCAGGAATGAAATGCTAGTTTAATTCTAGTCCATATTTAAAAGCTGCAGACTGATTCAGAAGAGATTCCTCCAAAGTTATTTAGAGGTCTGGGCTGGTGAGCAGTTCAGACACCTGCACGTTTGGACGTCTGCCACCACTGCAGATAAGTCCACGAGTGACGGTGCTGTCTGGAAGCTGTACCTACCTTCGCAGTTGGAACATTGTGGTCAGAAGGGACTGCACCGTGAGCTGCAGAGACCTTCACCAAAAGCTTCATTAGCCCAAACTCCTCTCCAAAGTGAGAGGCCCCAGGCTGTGGGAGGAAGCACCCTTCCCATGTGTGCTTGGCTGCTGGCAGTCAGGGTATAAGGCTGGAGATACCACTGCTGGTTGTACAGCAGATATCATCTGAAACTTCACAACCCAGCTTCAGTCCTACTTATGGCTTTTGTCATTGGCTTAAGCATGATTGAAGGAGAGTATGAGGCCTTCTCTGTGGTGGATTTGCCCCGTCGCCTCCTTCCCTGCAGATCACAGTGAGCAGATAGACGCCCTGAGGTTGGCAGAGAGTCTGCTGGACCTGCTGTGCTTCTGTGTCAGTAGTTTGTTGGTCTCCTCTCAGACGTGGACCTTCATTCGAGCTCTCAGTGAAATCAAGAGAAATGTTTTGAAGGATGCAGCATTCATCCCACTCATTTATTCAACAGTCATCTGTCAGGGATGATACCTACCATGGTATCTTGTCTCACTTGCATAAAATGTATAGTGTTAACACAGAACTGTGAAAAAACAATTGTTTGGATGGAGTTTGGCTTCAGGCTGTCACTGGAGCTGTGGATACAGTGGCAATCCAGGCCTGCATCTGCCCAGGCAAGAGGCCGTTGGAGGAAAGCAGGCAGCTGGTCCTCACTCAAGTCCACTTGCTGTTGAGAG